CATCGTGAGAGAGAGAGAGAGAGAGAGAGAGAGAGAGAGAGAGAGAGAGAAGTTTGCGGATGTAATTAATACGGCATTTTTTGGCAAAGTATAAATAAGCAATGGATGAAGATCCGCATCGAAATATATCTGTTCGATGAATATTTTTTCGAAAGATGAGATTAAGACTCTCTTGGTGTAGCAGGTAACAGGATTTGGCGAGAGATTTCGATATCTGAGGAAACCTCCGCTTCTGTGACAGACAAGAGTCAGAGTCCGCGTTGTGGTCAACCGATCGGTGAAGGGGAACGCGACCGACATCCAGTCTTCTTTGCTCGGTCGATTCGTGTCTGGATATTGCGAAACTCGCCTGACTTTCTCAACTGCCGAGTGCGAATACGTTGCTTCGAATACCGATGACTGCTGACTCCCGTGTCTGCCAATATGGCGAATATCCAGTTGTGTTAATGTTATTAAACCTGTGTCATTCATCGCATCCGGTGCTCTTTCCAACACAAATCTTGGATTCACCTTTCAAGCGATGAATCAGCTATCTATGAATCTTAGACATAAATTTGAAGCGAATACACGTTGATTTCTCAATTAAATAATGCCCTGACCTGCAACATAACCAACTTCAATATTTGCTTGCGCAAGATCCACAGATTCGGTCGGGTAGCAGTGCCAGTAAATTAAAGAGGTTTAGTTGCAATTGCATCGGCTGCAGATAATCGAAAAGATTATTCTTCAAAATTGTTCTCCGAGACCGCGGTTAGACCGCGGATTGCAAGATTTCCCGTTTCCCTTTCAGTCTCTGCTTTTCTGAGTAATTTGAATATTTAACGCATCACGAACTACGGGAATTACACGGACGTGATTACGTAAATGACTTCTTTATTATCTTCTGTCTGTACGAAGGTGGGCGATTTTGTTGTATGTCAATCAGACAAGGTGGAACGTATTGCGAGAGCGTTGTTTTGCAAAACAATGCGAATCGAAATGAAAGCTTTTTCCTGAACTAAGCGGAAATGTTGACGTCAAGTTATCTCCGAATCGTCCTTGAATTGCTTCTGAACAAACCATGATTGAGAGAATGTCTTCCGGTGATGCGATACCTTGCATCCTTATATCATGTGTGTCAAATTATTTTTTGGAAAAGGATATCATAAAAATTCTTCGTAAATAATGCACAATACATTTTTATTTCAAACGAAGTGATCGCATCTCTGATGTGGTGAAAGAACGATAGCATCCTGCAACGACGCGAACATTTACAGGGAGGTCGAAGAAAGAGAGCCAGTTGGATTATGGTTTATCGACCAAAGGAAAGTTTGGTTGGCGAAAGTAAGTCGTTTTGTATCCAACGAAGCTCGTAATGGACGAAATGGACTGTCTGGACGTTTCATGCTCGAAAGAAAGCCAACGCCCACTTCAACGGCCGTTATATGACGCTATTCTATACGTGAAATCGATTTTACGTCAATTTCTTTGTCATCCTCCGCTGCCTCAAAGAAACTTAAACCTGTCATCTAGCAATCCTGACGCATTAAATGACGCGAGTCCTAAGCATTTATTTCTTCCACAATTTTTATTATCTTTCTTGATGATATAAGAACTATTCTAAAAGGCGTATTCAGTAACAAAAATAGAAGGCAAACGATCAGTGATAGTCAGATTTTTTAATAGATAGTAATGCAATTCATACGACATAGTTCGATTCAGTTTCTCTTCTTTTCGCGTGTTTCCGGGAAGAGAGCATGCCCGCGACGAAATCATGACATTATTGGCCCAGAATTCGAGGCTCATGACCGCGCTATATTAAGCTCTTACTACAGAGTCCCTATTCGACGAATGCCTCGCAAATAGCCGACGTCGTCACTTTTAAGTCGAGCGTTACACTACACGTGTGATAAGTTACGTTGACACGCGAGTATTTCGTCGGTCGAGCACAAATTGTCCGTGATTTCCGTATAATCGGTGTTTCGTCTCACACATAATAAAATAACTATTGGGTATCTTATTGAGAAGTGAGAGGGAGAGAGAGATTGATATATAATCTTATTTAAATATTACAAGGAAAACATGTATGCTTTGCACGGGAATAATGATGTCAACTAATGATGTCAATATCCGGGTGTATTGCTTTCGAGTATCGTAATTAGCGTCAAGTATTGGAATTAGTGCAGTTAGTATCTCAAAAGATTTTGAAAGGCTCTCGTTGGACAAGAAGGATGAGTCCACAAACTCATTCCAAAAATTACGGATAACCTTTTAATCCATGACTGTACACAGAAACGCGTTGGTTTATACTTATTATTCAGAGCATATTTCAATTATTATTCAGAGTACAAACCTTGTTATTCAAACTATTTTTATTCGTTATGAAACATTTAATAATTAAAATAGCGGTTTGTAGAATATTGAAGCGTTGAGAAAACGTCGTTAACAATGCAACTGTCTATTCCCGCGAGCAAACGCACATACACATATATTGAAGTTTGCCGATTCCGCAATCTATATAAATATTGACCGCCAGTGTCTA